GGCCGGAGGAGCGAAGGGGCCGGCTCCTCGGCCATTGCGCCCCATGCTCAGCACGGCCCCAGCATCGCCGCAGCCGCCTCCTGCGGCGGCTCAGGGCTCAGCGGCCGAGCGCTCCCCGCCCCTGGATGCGGCAGCAGCAGCATCTCCTAGCAGCAGCTCGCAGCCCATTATACAGTGCAAAGAGAGGCAGGGATGGGAGAGGGGACAAGAAGCCCCAACACGTCTAATGTCCCAAGCGCCTCCCGGACGCGATCGGGGGACAAATATCAGGAAGCAGCAACAGGCTTCTTCTCCGGGTCCAGTGCTGGGCTGCCAAGCACACCCGCCTGGGCCAAGGGAAGCAGGAAGCTGCCGGAGAGAGGTGGGGATCTGCCCGCCTGCCAGCTGCTGCCCACCCCACTGCTCCGCTCCCCCACAGCCCCCGGGAGAAGCGAGCAGCGCCCGGCACCCCTTCCCCGCGCCTGCAGCCTCCAGTCTGGCCTCGGGGCAGGGGAGCTTATCCCACTTCATTCATGCATGTGTAAGAGGGCTGTGTCCCTGCACACCGTGGGCAATGTCACCCAAGATGATTACACTCTTTTGGAAAGGGGGGTTATTTATGTTTTTCCACTCTGGGAGTATAGTCCCTGTATTTTGGGAGGAGATCCAAGCTTTGGGACAAAGCGTGAGCCAGTTTCATGGAGAATCCATCCCATAGTCTGAATCTGAGAAGGGCCAGAAAGTGCACTCGGTGGTACAGAAAGACATAGTTCCTGCCCTCTAACTTTAGACATCACACAGTGAGTGCAGGTAACAGGAATTAGGATTGAGGAGGGATATAGAGGATAAGGACATAAGGAAAATGACCGGAGTACACCATATTCCCAGCATGCTAACCAGCTCCTCATTAGCAGAACCTGCAAGTCCAGTGCAGTCTGGGGAATCATTTCTCTCCATTTCACAATAAAGAGAGTGGTTCACCTTCTGTAGTATTTTCACAAGAAATAGTTCCATCTCCTCTGTCCTTGTTTCATGATCCATTTTGGAAACCTCGGCAGAGGTGGGAAACTAGTCAGAAAAAAATGAGTACAGTAAGCAGAAGAGGCAGCGTTCCTGTTCATGATATACACATTCATGGGAAAAGCCCTGATTGAAATGTCCAGCCTAGTGAGACGCACATGTTCATCTCAGTGTCTATCCTTTCCATACAGGGTTTGCATCATCTAGGGCATGTGTACGTGAATATACCAAGGCCTCTGCTTCTAGATCCTCCGTCTAAGTCCAGCTGAACAATTAAACTACCATCTGACAGCTCTTTGGTGACCTATGTGAAATAAACTGTTGGTCTTAGTCCTGCTCTTGGTAGGACGGTGCCAACAGCAGAGGAACTATGGGTGAAATCCTGGCCCCACTGAAGTCAATGGGCATTGACTTCCCTTGTGATTCCGTTGACTCTGGTTGACACACCCTTGTCAAAAGCACCTGGCTGCTTTCAGTTCAGTTCCATGCATTCCCCTGGACTCTAAAGTCATCCTGCATTGAAAGACATGCAACCAGACATACACGTGAGCATCCATCCCATTAGAGCTGCTCTCATTGCCATATCGCATGCATCCAAAAATGCCTTTTCTTAGTGATGGACCATCTCCCAGCCCTTCACTAATGACATTTTTAAAGTTTGTCCATTTCTCTTGGGGAAAAAAACCCAGCACACTTATGAGCTTTCATCCACAGTTCAAAAGTTGCATTAGCCCACGAAAAGCTGAACAAAACCTTTTGAATTTTGAAATTTCAACATTTTTAATGTTGAAATTTGAAAGGTAAAAAGTACTTTTTTTTGTTAATATTGACAATTTTCATGGAAATCTTTCCCCAGCTTTCAACCAAGTATTGAGCTGATCAAAATATTTCAAATTTTGAATTTTCAAACTAAAGGGGGGAAAAATGAGGGGAGACTTAATAAAACAAATTTGCAAAATGCCCCCAATTTATTTTTTAGCAGCTCTCCCATATACACCGTCTTGCTAGACATGTTTCCTCTTTAGCATCTCAGTCGAATAGCACTGAAACATGAATCTGACTTGATCTGGGTCATGACAGCCACAACCAAGGAATCTCTCATAGGATGGATGGGAGAGCCATTTCTTTTTGATGCGTTTTCATGCCCTGCTAGTTTTGAGGTTCCCAGAAATCACACTTCCCATATGTTGCCAGAAAACAGATGGACAGCTATTCCTCCTGATTCATGGGAGGTGGATAGCTCAACAAATCAACTGGACAAGAAGCCACAGTTAATCAAAGAGCAGGTGAGGTTAATCCTTTGAATCACGAAAGGACCCATCCAACCATAAGTGAATCTTTCAGTTGCCTCATTTATTAAATGAAGAATCAGAGCAGCAGGCTGGCATTGATAGGGACAATTGGACCACTGGTTGTTTCATCGCCCCTGTGACTGTGCTGGCTATTTCTGTACGTGAAATAATAGTTGTACTAAAGGAGGAAGTTACTAAAAGCTCCTCTCCCCCATGCAGGGCTCATTTAAGCCATTAGAGGTCAGCTTTCAGCCAATTAGACAGGCATTTGGCCATCTCAATCTGTGCCAGCCTCACAAAGCCTCCATACCATTTGGCATTATTGCAATCTCTGTAGGAATGTTGCAGCTCAGGATCACGATGCAAGGGCAGAGGTGTGTGGGGCACAGGGGGTCAGGTGTATCAAAGTGAAGTTAAAGGCACTTACTTGTAGCCAGCCTCCTGGCCTAAGTAGGCAATTTCAGCAAGTAACTGGCTCTTTCCATAGCCCATAAGGCCTTCATACATTATGACGCGGCCTTCTGTAGACGCCACAAATCCTTTCAATAAAGTGTCATAGATTTCAAGCTCTTTTTCCTGACCTAAGAAACAAGGAGTGACTTTAAGAAAGCAAAGACCAATGCACATCCCTTTCCCTCTTTGCTTAGCAGTGGCAGTATGTCTCCACCCATATCGGAAATGCATACATAAGTCACTGGTTCATTTCCACCTCTGCTGCAATCCTTATCTATCCCTTTCTCCCCACTCATTTTGATAATTGCACCTTCCCTCTCTAGCATATTCCCAAACCCGACTGTCCAGATTCCAGCACACCACTGCTACCCTCCCCACCACACACACAAAGTGTGACCACATTATTCCTATTGTCACACAACCACTTGTTCATTCCAATACCCGGTGTCACTCTTCAGATTTGTATCCAGTCTCCTTTACAGACCCTGAGCTACATTCACTAGAGCTGGCACAGGGAAGTATAATTTACATCTCTCCTTACCAGCCTGCCAACCAGGAGATTCATCAGCTCCTACAGGGCAACAGGATTAAAATTTAGAGATGAGGTGGGGCTCACCTGGTATTTATCTCATAGAAAGGGAAGGGACCTTGAAGGTCATCAAGTCCAGTCCCCTGCCTTCACTAGCAGGACAAAGTACTGTCCCTGACAGGTAGGGTTTTTTTTTTGTTTTGGTTGTTTTTTCCCCAGATCCCTAAATGGCCCCCTCAAGGATTGAGCTCACAACCCTGGGTTTAGCAAGCCAATGCTCAAACCACTGAGCTATCCCTCCCCCCATTGGAGGTATTGGGGTGCAGGACTCTAGCATTTTGTTTCAACCCCATTTGTCAGTAAAGTGAAAAGATGCTAATCAAAGACACAAAGGGAGTGAATATGAGGGGTAAGAATGTGCATGTATTCCTTCGAGACAAGGTGGTGAGTATGAGGAATATCTTTATTGGATCAACTTTGGCTAGTGGAAGAGACAAGCTTTCAAGTCTCACAGAGCTACTCTTCGGGTCTGGGGAAGGTAACCAGAGTGTCACAGCTACACACAGATGGTTAAGCATAAGGAGATCACACATGTTGCCTGAGACCACTTAAAATGAAGTGGGCAGTTAACACCTCTGCTGGAAAGTTTGTTTCTTCCACCACAGGAACTAGTCCAATAAAAGCTATTCTCTCACCCACCTTGTCTCTCTCCTATCCTCGGAGCAACACGGCTACAACAACACTGCAAACATGTATTCCATACTCTTGTCTGACCATGGATAGATCCTGCGGTCCATAGCACCATATAAGACCTGCAGGATCAGGCACCACAATGTCAGTGTAAAGGCCCTGTATCTTTAAGAGCATCCCGAGCACATCTCAGAGCTTTACATTTCTGAATGATCCCAATGGTCAGTCACTTAATATCCTCAAGTAGTGGGTCCCCCTCAGACATTTCCCCCCACATCCATCTCTTCCTTGGGCATCCTTTTCCCAGCAGCAACAACTGCTCCACAGGTTCCTAATGACAAATCAACTGGAGTTCCGAAGAGCTCTGTCCACCTACCCAGTAAGTGGTAATACTCAGACCTCTCCTTGGTGAGATACGCTTGGCCAATCATTCTGCAAGGAGGAAGAGAAAGGAAAGCTGCAGTTAAAGAGCGAAAATACTCCTGGTCAGACTGAGTGGGGGCGCAGCTGGGCTGCCCACTCTCTCTGAATCCAAGCACTGCTTCCAAGAAGGGTTTCATTATTCTTAGCCTCCTGCACCCAGAAGCTCAAGTTGAGATGGAGTGAAGTAGTGTCATGGGGTTTCCCTTCAGAAGAGCGCTAAAGGAACATCAATAATTAAGGAGTCTAATGCGCCTGGTGTAATGGGAGGGTGTATTAATATCCATCGGTGAGAACTGGAGAGCTAAGAAGGAAATGAGGCACAGCAGTCTATGATTTCTCTAGTAAAGAACAATGCAATGCAATGCCTATTAGCCTGGCTTCCTGAAGCTGCTCAAGGATCTGAAGGTAACAAACAATTCTGTATTGCAAATGGGTGAGAGATGAGAGACAAGTAGGAATAGACAGATTCAATAAAGCTTGCAGAGGAAAAGATAAGGAAAGCAAAAAAAGCAGAATGAGTTAATACTAGGCAAAGGCTGTAAGGGGAATAAGAGTTTCTATAAACATGTCATGGGAAAAAGAAAGTAAAGCCATTAATAAGTAAGAAGGTGAATGAAATCGATGAGTACTCTGAGCTCCTGCGCTGCTTTTTAAAATCTCTCTTTAGCAAGCTATACATTAACAATGGCCCGA